CGAAACGTCAGGCGAATAAACATATTGTCCCAACGATCGAGTCGTCTTCTTCGTAACCTTTGCCAGTTTATAAAGCAGCACCGTTATGTGTACTGCCAATAAGTTCACTGCAGCGGAGAGAGGCAGCTTTTGTTGGTAAGTTTCGAAACGTAAACTAGCGTTTCTGTTGTGTACCCCACGTCCGGATAACCTCAAACTAAGTCGTTCAAATGACCTTTTTGAGCGGTCCTTGGTAGGATAAACATGCTAACTGGTTGGCACATTAAATCTTGACTGTTCCATGTAGGTTTTTGTTATTTTGTATTGGTATTTATGCATCCCTTTATTTGGAATAATTGACCTTTGAAAGCCTCTCACGACTCATTCAGAATCCTCCATTTTTAGAAAATCTGGTCACAGATCAAACACACATGGGTATTTGTGTTTTCGAACACTCCTAGTGCTTATTGCTGAGTCCGACTTTTGCATCAGGGCAAGTAGCTTAAAGTAGGGACTTATTGGGTCTACAGACAATAGTGCATGCTGAATGCTTCACTTACACCAAAGTAGACCCAGCAGATGAAGCCCAGGTGCACAGCGATGTAGAAAATGCAGAAAGCAATGAAGACACCGCATTCAATGCGCTTGAGCAACCTGGTCCTTTGCTCTTCCAGCTCCTCCAACTCGGCCCTTCTGAGTACAGACTGTTTCTGCCTTTCGAGTAGCCGACGTCTCAAGGCTAGGTGGATTGCTCGTTGAAGCGTTAACAGATCTAGAAAGACTAATTCAAAAACCAGATCAGCGAATTTACCTTTGTCGTCATTGGTCTTATTCGCTGCCGTTGGTCTGAAGCTTAAAGCTTCGGTTAGTGAATCGTTCATCCACTTGGGGATAGCATGTCTCGGGATAAGTATCTAAGTAAAGAAAAGTCAAAAGGCTTAGCGTAAGTGTTATTTTCAATGTTTCTAATGGGTTTCAGAAGTATCGATGGGTGACCTATTTGGCGATCATTTAGGAAACAAAGACAGCAAAACTTACTGTGGAGAATTTTCAAAAAACGGTCCTGAAAGACTTATTCAAATTATCCCATTGCTTCTTCTTCCGCTACTTTTACACTGTCTTACTCGTATGTGCACACTTACAGACGGCACAGAACATTCGAAAAGAAATTGAATGTTTGGTGGTTTTTAGGGAAGTTTCCTGATTACTCAGCTCCGACTGCAAAGTTTGCAAAATCAGGAAAGTTAGTAATTACGACAGCCGCATATATAAGTGACAGCTTCTCTTTTACTGGTTGTTGTGAGGAGGTCTCCGTTTCTAATGAAAATAAACAGTCGCTCTTGTCGTTCGAAAATTCGGATGCAGAAAACCACCCCAGTACTTGTATCTCTCTGATAAATAAATTCTTTTGACTACAATCCAATTATCTCTCTAATTTTCCCGAAAACACCAACTGCATATAATGAAAAGAAGCAAAAGCCCAATATATCGAATACCAGTACTACCTCATATGTAAGTCCGCTGAGAAAGAAGACACAGGTACGCTTGTAAAACGGGAGGGTAGTAATCTTTGTTGCAACAGTAAGGCAAGTGAAAGGGGCAATTAAGGGAGCCTGCGGAAGACATTGTCCGGCTTAATCCCAACAAGCAATCCGGGTAGTGTATCGCATGTGATGCACAAATGGTTCGTTTAATTATACAGGTCAAACTGAACGCATGCTCGGATCACGCACACATGACGAGGCGACGAATTATCGCAGGTTGCTGCCTACACCTATGAAACGGGCCATGCGTTCATATCCACAGCCTTCAAGGTACTCGCCCACACCGGAAACAAGACGAGCCGAGGATTACATAAGGTCTGGTCCATGAGTGGGAACTTACTCGATCGATATATCGATTTGG